GTTCGCCTTACAGTCGCTCGAGACTTCGCTGCAGATTGGCTGCGTTCAGAAGCTGAAGAAAGTCATGTGGCCTTACCCGCGCTCATCCTGAGTGCCAACATCGCCAAGCACGTGCTCAAGACAAGAGGAGCTGTCGCCTACGAGACGCAGGTCACGGCCCTCAGGAAGGACGAGAAGCTAGCCGACTGCTGCACTCGGATGTATGTTGCCGCTCAGGCCGCCCTTGGCCGCACGGTCGACCGCCCTAGCGATGACACTTCTCTCGGCGTGATATCAACACCTGTAGTTGCGGCAGACATTCAGCCCAGATGGCTGCCACAGTGGTCCCCGCCTTCCTGGAACTCAGACGACGAGGTCAAAGCGCGGGCTATCGAACGTGGTTCCAAGAACGTCGATAGCATTACCAGGTGCGGGTTGCTACGGGGTGGCCTGGAAACTCTTGAGAGCGGCCAAGTTTTGAAATTCAAATCAGGGGTGATGGCAAATCTGACGGCCCCACGGCGTGGCCAACCCAAACCGCCTCCGACCAAGTCACCCAGAGCGGCCTGGGACACCCCCAAGCCCTCCACGCCAGCCGACGACGTTGCAAGATGCCCCTGTGGAGGAGCAGAAGGACAACGACGGCGACGCACCAGTGGGGGATGCTGGAGGCGCTGCTGATGGAGAACCGAGGCGCCATGGGGAGACTCTTTCAAACAACGCCGATGTTGAACTGATGGCGACTGTTTCTACTGTGCGGCCGGACTGTTTCTACTGTGCGGCTGGCTGCCACTGCCGATCTCGCCCCAGGTGGACAACTTCAAGCGCAGTTGCGTCTCGAGGTGGCAGCCGACAGGAAATGACAGAAGCATGCTGAGATAGAGGTTTCGACCCAGGCGACGAGGGAAACTGGGCCACCTCAAAAGCGATCGGAGCAGCTGCCAAAGTGAACGCTCTTGATTACTCGATTTGGAAGAAGCAGGGCTCAGGCTGGATCTCGTTCAAAACGCCCTAAAGCATCAAGACAAAGACAGAGTGATGGATGACCCTCGTCGACACGCACTTCGAACTACGAGCTGGCACATGAACACGGTGGGCGCTGAGACTCACTCGGCTACGACAGAAGCAGGCACGAAACCTAATCGGGCTTTGCTCTGGGGGGACGGCACGGCGCCAGCGCATACTGGCACGACCACCTTACCAAAAATCTCTCAGCACGGATTGGTCAGCTACGAGCTCGACGTTCCCCGCGCGCTACCTTCTCCAACACGGCTACGGCACACGGCAACTTACACTCCAGAACAATGGTCCAACCCAGCGGAGATGGCGTTTCTTCAAGAACCGGTCGACCAGGATGTCGGGCCTCCTCTGAACGACTTCTGCGGCGCTGACGCCGACCCGCCCATGGTAGACCAGTTGCAATACTGGCACGCGAGCAAAGAAAGCGTTGAAGATTACAACTGAACGTGGATGTCTCTCAGTGGATCGAGAGACAGCGGGCAAAAGGCTCATCCCCGACCTCCCGTCCCACATCACACTCGCCATCCTTCCGTCCTGATCAGACGGTCGCGCTGCGTCGGTTGCTTCGCCTACACCGTCGCCTGACCGAAAACCTACGGCAGGGCTCTCCTGGGACAGCCCAACTTCAGACCAAGCACTTCCAGCATATCGCCACGGCTACGATGGGTGGTATTCTGAACATCCAAGCTACCTGCATCCAGACCTACGCAGATGCACTGGATTGGTTGTCTCAGGACATATCGCTCGAACAGATCAAGATGAAAAAACGTGCGAACGCCAAGTGGCGCCAACCATTTTACACGTGGAGTGGAGACCTGTGGAAGTACACCACACCCATGTTCAAGGCGGCGTACCAGCCCCATCGGTGCCAGCTTCTGAGATGAAGGCCCAGCAGAAGAAGCAGTGGCGACTCGACACCTACGACAGCAACGTTGACCTTCAGAATTGACACCAGAACGCTGCTGGAGTTTCTTCTCGGGAGTCATCACGTCCTCTGATGATGATGCTGATGATGTTGATGATGATGCTGATGTTGATGTTGATGCTGATGATGATTCTGATGATATTTCTTATGAGAGTGTGAGCCTTATTATGACGAGTTCGTGAGCGCCGTCAGGCATGCGAAGGGGTGCCCTGGCCTGGACGGGTGGACCCTTCGAGAAGCGCGTGCACCAGAGAAGCTACACCCTATCACTGCTCGAGAGCTTTCAAGAAGCTCTCGAGCAGTTCAAATTCAACCTTTGGATCGCCAAAGGTTAAAATTTAACCTTTGGACGTGGCGATCCAAAGGTTGAACATTCACCTCTGGATCGCCACGCCTTTGGAAGCACTCGCCCACCGAGGCAGGCTATCAACCGACGTGCTGGGCTCCGTCTTCAGCTGGCGGGTCGCGGGAGTCCCGAGTCCCCAGGGGGGAGGACGCGACTCGCCCAGTCTCCGTGGGCTCGGTTCTCCTCGGGATCTGGCTCGGGACCCTTTCGAACGCTGTGCCTCTTTCCCCCCAGACATTCAATGGGCAAGCCGCAAGGGCGCCTCGGTCACCCACGCCATCTCGGCATGGCTGGAGGACGGTACTGTAGGCGCCTCTGCGGCCGAGATGGATCTTACCCAGGCATCTGACCAAGTGGGTCACTCTCTGGCCCTCGAAAGCCTTGACCAGTCAGAGCTGCCCAACATCGTCATGCTCACCTGCCTCGCGGCGTGGACTGGGCCCAGACGGAGGCTCTATGGCACCATCTACGCTCATATCTACCCTCGTGCCGTGGAAGCCGACAGTAAGGGCCAATGCCTCCAAGACGACAGAAGTCTGGTGTCGCAGTCGCCTGCGAGCCTCGCCGGAGACCTGACCATGACCCAGGGCTTCGACATGTCCATGGGCTATCGTGAGACACTGGAAAACAAAGACAAAGATGGTCAGAGTCGGACCCCGAGCCCGCCCTGATCGAACACCTCAGCGTGCTGGCCGCGCCGACCGACGCCTCGATCCCCATCGTCCCTCGCAGAGGCTGGGCCAAAGTTGGAAATGCTACATCTGTCTTGGCCTGTCCCTGGTAGCAATCAACTACGTCTAAAGCTCGGGTCTGTGTAAGGGCGCCCTCTATGGTTGTGGGCCAGCCCGAGTGCTGTTCTTCTTCCCAAGTCCCTCACACGACAGCTCGCCCGAGCAATGTGAAGGACTAGATCCTCATGATGGTGCTATGGACGCTGGTTGGCCCAGAACGTTCTGCTACATCCCGTGTACTCCTCGACCATCTTCGCCCTGCAAAAGATCACGGACGATAAACTGGAGTGGTCCGACTTCCTCGACACATCCATGGCCTTACACGAGGCCGCCCTGGGCCGCAAGTTCAGCAGATTCTCGCCGGCACAGGGTGCCATCCTGGAAGTAAACCCACCAAAAGATCTGCGTGGCGTGATGTTGGTAAATTCTTTGTGCGAGATGATTGGAGGTTCACCACCAGCTTTAAGGCTGCCAGCCACGCAGTTCGAGTGATTGCCAGAGTTCTGTATCCAGGAGGTGATGCGCTCCCGACATGATGCTGAGGAGATCGACGACGTCGACCCCGAGATCCTCAGCAGCAAGACCTTCACACGCTGGACCTCGAGCCTTTCAGAAAAAATGAAACCCTGCTCTTCATCTTCCGCAGCGGCGCTGTCACCAGTGAGACGCGGAGGAGAAAAGGCTACCCATGCAAGCACTGCGGGGCGTTGATGCCCTCTTTCCGCCACGATTAGATACGCTTGGGTTGAATATCCTCGACGAGATCGGCTCCGCGAAAGTATTGCTGACCTGCATTCCCTGCCAGAGGGGTTCTGGATTTCGGTCCCTCGCGCGACCTCAAAATCTGGCTGGATCTCCGTGGGTCAAGACGACTCAAAATACGTACGTGCCCAAATGCTGACGGCGGCCTGCATGATGGGCGTCGGGATTCTGCAGTCGTGCATTGAAGACATGCTGACCGGTCCATCTCCAATGCCATCTGCTCGAAGACCGAATGGATTACCAGTTCAGTGATCATGCGCGTGTTCACTTCACTCATCAGACGGGGCACTTGACTTCAACAGTTCTCCCGGACAATGGTTTCCATCCGAGGTCTACTTCCGTTGACGTGCCCACGGCCTGGAAGAGGTCACCCCCGAGGCCGCAGATGGCGAAAGCTGCCCCCACGTGCGCGCGGCAGGAAGTGCTCGAAGTCGGCCGTGCTCGGACGGGCGAGAACAGGGGGACGCGACGCTCTCCGGCCCCTCGGGGGCTCCAGACGCGGCAGAAACCGGCGCGCTCCCTCAAAACACAGGCCCCGTCATCCCGACGACGACGGAGACAGACCGACATCTGCGCCAACGCCCACGTGCGTTTGCCCGTGAACCAGATGGAAAATCAAAAAGGTATCACGGCTGTCGGGTCGTTGCCCAGCAAAGGTGTGCTGTTTCACTCTCCGAGGGTTGTCAAGGCAAGGCGATATCAGCACATCTGCTCCCGAGGGCTCGCATACTCTTCGGGGGAAGCACCGCATCAACAACTGTCAAACGAGAATCGGTCCCCGGAATGCGCTGCCCGCCAAAATACCGTGACCACAGGCAGCCGTCACTGAGGGGTTTTGAAAAATCGCAGGCCCAAGGAGGAGTGGCGAGGAGGACGCACGCGGGCTCGAATGTGTGTCCTTTCCCGGCTACTCCTCGAAGAAAACAGAATCACGAGCCAGAGGACTTGACCAATCCTGGCCAGGATCCAGTCATGCCATGGATCCTGAACTTGCCCAATGACTGCTGCACTGCTCCTCTTCTCCCTTCCTCCTCATCCTGCCCACCCTCCTCATTCCCTCCCATCGTCTTCCTCCTCATCCCCCTCTTCTCTCTGCCCCTCCTTCTGAGCTGGTCATTATCATTGTCAGTTCCTTTTCCTTCAGTCCCTATTCCTCCTCCCCATCCTCCGTCTCCCCCATCGATCCTCGACGTCCTCCTCCGCCCCCCTCCTCCTGCAGCTGATCTGTTCGGCGGTCCTGGTCTACTTCTGCGGGCGGCAGGAAATTCTTCTCGTCAACGATGAGTTTGCACGACTTGTCGGCGCCGCTCTTCTCTTTCACAATGTCCTCCGCTGTCCGCGGTCACATCCACAGGGAAGAAGATGGAGGCGGAGGGTGAGCAGGGGAGTAGGAGGGATGAGCAGAATGAGCGCATGTCCTGTCTATGTATTCGTGGGCGCTTTCGTTCTCGGCGTTCCGACATTGCGGAACTGGGGGAGGAGGGGTGTCTAGCTCCGTACCTCTGCTTAGCGCGAATGTTTGAAACAGTGTCCTGTGGGGGAGACTTCACCTGCTTGAGACAGGCGCCAAGAAAATCCAAGATCTACTCCGGGCCCGCGCCGACAGGCAAAACAATGAATAATGACCGATCACTTAGTCTGTGTTGCTATTGCTTGTTGGTTGTTTGTGTGTTCGGATGAGCAGAAAGAACACTAAGATTCAGACGAGGAGGAACGCGGCCTACCGAACCACAGATCGACACCGGCGGCATCCACAGAACAACTCCGCCAGGAGCTCGGAATCGGTATCGTGCGCGCTTTCCCCTGCTCCCTACTCTTCGCGGGGCCACGCGACTCCGCCGGCAACCATGACCCAGCTCACAGGAACCGTTGCTTCCACGCTACCTCCAGGAAGGCCCATGATGGTCGTGAGGACGACTTCTCTGGACGCTTTTTCTCAGTGGGGGCCTCGGCTTCCTTTCGCGCCGGGGGCCGTTTGCTCGGCGCGCAGCGAGGCTGCGCCAGCAGCGCGCGCGGAGGCGCGCTCGGTCAACCAGGGGGTGCGGCGTAACTGGCAGACATGCCCGCAGGCGGACACGCCGGACCGCGGCGGCTCGCAGGCGCGCGGGAGCGGTGGCGAGCACTCCCACAGAATCGCGGCTGCCCAGGGACGGCGGGGAGGGCTCCCGTGCGCGCCCAGTCGCGCTCGCAGCTGACTGCGGGGCGCCCGCGGGCGGCTTCGGTCAGGGGCGCGCGCCCAAGGCCCACTACGCGACTGCAGAAGCGCCCGCCGAAGCCTCCCCCCGCCACGTCCAAACGTCCACGCGCGGCCATGCACCGCCGCGTTGATATCAAGACTCGTGCCAGCAACGATCGTGGTCCACGATCGCTGCTGGGACGAGTCTTGATATCAACGGCGTTCCCTTACCACATTGTCCACAAACGCCACAATAGTCACTATACTCCGCGACAGAACAAGCCCGGACAGCGCAGCGGCGAGCGCACGAGCGGCGTTAGTATACAATTGTCCACTGGTAGGCAAAAGGCAGGTCACGTGAACCAGACGCGTGCACCCTCGCCAGTTCGACAGGGCGCATGCTCGAATAAGCTCTGCGAGTACTCATCACCATCCATCGCAGCCGCAATCTGCTCAACTGAGCCAACGCGAAAAGGGCAAGAGTCACGATCAAACAGATCTCGCATGCACTGCGCGACGAGACGCACACACGTTAGCGACAACGTGTTCACGAACAGGCTGGTTGCAGTGCTTGGCGCGGCGTAACAACAACATTGCGGATAATCCGCCACCGTGCTTCTAGCACGAAGTTGAGTGCCCCAAGACTCATGCAGCACTGAGAGGTAGAGGCTGTGCTGTTCGTGCAGCGAGAACTGTAAGTCTAAAGCGCCCAGCCCAGTCGTTTCCCAGGCCTTCCCATGGCTTTTCGGGCTGGCCATGCTGCTGGCATAGACAGCTTAGTTGTTTGATGTAAATGCTAGGCTTCTCGGCCCCCAGAGATGTTCGGGCTCCTTGTCTCTCTTGCTCCTGCCTCTGTTTTTTGTTGTTTTTCTCTCTCTCTCTCTCTCCCGCTACCCCACTGGGGGCTCAAACCTTTCTTGATCAGGCTTCCCTCCTACCGCAAGTGTTTTTCTCCGGCACTCAGGGATTGTGCAATGGCGAAGCCGATCTAAAAAGGCGCACCGAACCGGAGACGGGCTCGGACGAGGCTCCACGGCTCCTGGAGGCGCGGGGAGGCGGGCGGGTGACGGCTGAGGCCATTGCTCCCGTCCTGAAGCCTACGAGTCAGGCTTCCCTCCTACCGCAAGTGTTTTTCTCCGGCACTCAGGGATTGTGCAATGGCGAAGCCGATCTAAAAAGGCGCACCGAACCGGAGACGGGCTCGGACGAGGCTCCACGGCTCCTGACCCAAACCTCCACACAGCTCGAAAACAGCACGAGGGGAGATCAGGGCAGACGATCCCCGGGCAGTGAGAAGAGCAGCACTCAGATTTTGCCACGCTCGGGCCACGCCGACGTTACAGAGGCGGTGGCGCGAGCGAGCAGGCCGGGCAGAGCGGCGGCAAACCTGCCCACAAGCTCACGCGAGGCCTGCGTCAGGTTCGGCACGAACGCGACGGCAGCGACCTCCTGGATGTAGATCTCCATGGACTTTAGCTGCCTCCACCTGCCGCGCCACTGCGTACGCGGCAGGTCCTCGCTCTGCTGGAAGAAGAAAGTGGCGCCTCCCCCACGGTGCGACGCCGGCGTCAGGCCGTGCGCTTCCGTGGCCGCGATGCCGAAGAACTGCACGAGGGCGTCGTGGCACCTCCGGAAGTGCTGGTAGGTGCCCCTGAAGACCTTCTCCCCGCGCGGCCGCCCGACGGCCAGGCGCTCCAGCAGCCTGACCAGCGCCACCTCGTCACACCTGGCGTGCTCCATGCGCGCCACCGCCCAGCGAGCCTTAGGCTCGCGCACCTTCACGTAGCACACCTCGGACTCGGACATCAGCTGGGATGGCAGCAGCAGGTCCGAGTAGCTCAGGCCGTGCGCCTCGCCTGGGCGCAGCATGCACGTGAACGCCAGGAAGATCAGGACGGCCATGTCGATCCACTGCCAGCTGAGCGCCAGCGCCACCAGCGCCCGCAGCACCGGCAGAGGCGTGGGATACCGGTGGCGCGTCGGCACCGCGAACTGCCACGCCGCCGACACGTCCCACGCCGCGCCCATGTGCCTGCGCAGGGACCGCTCGGTGTCCACGATCGCGTTGATGGTCTCCGTGTAGTGCTTCAGGCTGCGGCCCCGCGAGTAGAGCACCTGCCCGTACGAGGCGACGATGCTGGAGACCACCCGCGGCAGCTGCACCACCAGCTCGGCCACGGAGCAGCCGCCGTCCAGCGCCATCAGCCACGTCTCGAACTGTTGCAGGAGGAGCCGGCGCATCTGCGCGGTCTTGGTGCCGGTCTGAGGCCGCAGGCGCAGGTCCACCGCGGGCCGCGGCGCCGGAGGTTCGCCAGCCACGCGCGCGCCTCCCGTCATCGTGACAAGGCTGAGCCAGACCACGGCGAGCGTCCTCCCAGGGCCCTCGCCTGGGTAGCCGAGCGAGCTGTCGAAGTCCTTCAGCGTCCACAGCTGCACCAGCTTCAGCGCCATGCGACACCACTCCGACTCCGCACGCCGCTGCCGGGGCACCCGCGTCCACTGGTCGAGGCCGCCCAGGTCCCCCGCCGCCGCCGAGCTCCACCAGGGCGGGCGTGCGGCCGAGGGGGGCGCTATCCCTCGGCCCCGCGACGGGCCGTCGGCGGGGATCAGGCGCGTGGGTGCGAAGTCGTACCCCGGGTACACGTCGAAGCCCAGGACGTCGGGGAGGCCTACCTTCAGGTCGTCGTTGAGTGCATGCGATGCCGAACGGCCCTTGGCACAGGCCCCCAGCGCGACGGTCGAGTCCAGCAGAAACGGCTGCCTGGTCCCGGGCTGCTCCCGCGCGGCCTTCCCGCGCGCCCTCAAGTGCGCGCGCACCTCCAGCCTGTTGATGTGCGTCACCGGCGGGCACGGCTCGCAAGTGAAGGCCCTCCAGCGGCAGCAGCGGATCAAGTCGTTGACGAACGGCTGCTCTAGCCGCCCCGCCGTAGCCTCCGGCGCCGGCTCCACCCCCACCAGGGGCGCCTCGGCGGCCAGCTGCGCGCGGGTCAGCTCCGCCCACTCGTCGCACAGCCTGGCCGAGTAGGCAGCCGCAGGGGCGGTGCGGGCGGCTCCCACCAGCGGGCTGCGGTGGGCCTTCCGCCCGTGAACGCATGGGCGGGCCAACGGCATCAAGAAGTCGCAGTGCACCAGGCCCAGCTTGGTCGGTTTCTGAAACGGGGCCCCGAACGAGCAGGCCGCGAAGACCAGCATGCCACAGCCCGGCTTCGCGAACAGCGCCATCACCTGCTGCACGTACCATGTGTAGGCCCAAGCAGGGTGCTCCAGGGACCCGTGCCTGCGGTAGCGCCGCGCCGTCCACAGGATGAGCAGGCACCTGAAAAGCAGGACGGTGCCCAGGAGCGTGTCCTCGTCGCTGGGGTCCAGGCCTAACGGCTGGGTGCGCGAGCGAAGTCTGGGCTGCCGAGCCAACGAGAAGGTCCTGCACGGCGGGGCGCAATGCACGTAGGCGACCCGGCCGTTGATGATCAGGAACAGGATCCACTCCACGATGCGGATGGAGCGTAAGTCCCATATCGGGTGCGTCTTGGGGTCGATCCTGGGCCCCACCCGCAGGCCAGCCGCTGCGTGCGCCCGAGACCAAGGGGCGTCGCGCCCGCTGCACACCTCCAGCACATCGAAGACCTCGAGGAGGTGCCAGCGCGGCACCTTCACGCCAGGCCGCAGCTCCTCGTCGATATCCTGCAGCCACGCTCTGTCCTCCAGGCGCTTGTGCGCGCGGATGTAGGCCACCTCCTTACTGTTCAGCTGCGTGTACCACCCGCGCTGGTCGCGATGCCGCCAGATCTCGCGCACGACGGGCTGCGCCACGTCCGCCACGACCGACGCCATGCAGAGATGCGACGCGTCGCTGCACACGACCCTGCTCGCGACCTGGGCCTTGAGGTTGGTGACGAACGTGGGTGCCAGCATGGACAGCAACATCAGCTCCTGCCTGGCGCCGGCGCCGAGCTCGAAGACGTCGTCGTCGCGCGGCACCTCCGGCAGTGAGCGAAACACCTCGTCCAGCAAGCACATAGCAGGACGACGAAAGCCCACCACATGCACCCAGCTAGCCACCGTCCTCCTGAGCAGGGCTCCCGACACGAGGCCGTGGGCAGCGATGCCAGAGGACAAAAGCGCCAGGCCAGCCCGGCGCAGCCTTTCCGCCC